ACCCCCCCTCCCTCCCCCCGGTCCAGGCGCCAAGGTGCAGCAGCTCATCGACCCCATCGAGGCAAACATGTAGCGTGGGCCCGCCGGCGGCGAACCGCCTCCACGCCCTGCCCGTGGCGGCGACCTCCTGGCGAAGCTTGGGGCGCGGGCGGGGTGGTGGGGGCGTGTCGCCGCCCGCGCCGCAATCGCTGGGTTGCGGGTGCGAGCTTGCGCGCGGCGGGGCCACGCCATGCCTGAGGTAGCTGGATAATCGCTCGCAGACCGAGACCCGTGCGGCTTTTCTTTTGAGGTGGGAGCCGAGTATAAGGAAGGTACGGAGAAAGCATCGATCGCTGCAGAGATATGTGCCAAGGGCAAGGCGCGCTCTGGGGGGGCGCGGGGGGGGGCCGGAGGCACCGTGCGCCGCGCAGCACCAGCACGGGCCTGTGTCAGCCTGCGGCTGCGCGTGAAGCGTGTGCACGTGATTTTGTGAGCAAAAAGCGGTTGTGTCATTTTTTGTGCGGCACATCTCTGAGGGTACAATGTGCACCGCCCACACGACGCCGCACACGGGTGACGCTCTCTGGACTCTGCCGGCCCTCGGCGCGCCTCGATCTCCGCCTCTGTGTCGCATTCGCAGTTCGCACACTCAAGCAAGCCCCTATAGAGCCTAGTCAAGCCCATTTCAATCACTGTCCCGGCCGTTCTGTCTTGAGAGTTTACGTGGTACCAGCAGCAATCGCAGTGTAGTTTAGTAGGAGAAGTAGTAGAAGTGGAGGGGAGGTTCGCAACGTGCTCTGCAGCGGCCAGTCGAGCAGGCCCTTGGCGGCCGGAGCATCTAGTAGCCCAAAGACATCCTCCCGGCCACGTCGAAAGAAGCCCGATTGACGGTCTCAACGGGTGCCACTGCCGTCGCGTTGACGGTGATCACTTCCGCCTCAACTGCCGGCACTGGTCGCGCCTAGTCGGCACAGGAGAATTGTCACGTGCCAGTGCCCCCCTCCCCCCCCGCCCCCGGGTACTACTGAGCTAGATAGCGCGCGCCTCAACAGCAACCGGCCAAACAGGCGCATAAGCTGCGGCGCCCTCGTTATTTGCATCGCGGCCGTTCTCAAAATCCATGCGGTGCTCAACAGTTTCGACGCCAGGCATTGATGCCCATGCAAATGCGGTTGCCGGCGCGCCGTCGTCGTTCGAGTATAGCGATGCGAGGGGCACAGCGGTGACAAGTTCCACGGGTACCTCAGGAGGCTTGGTCTGCGTCACGCCGGTGCCCATGGCGGCGCCGTCAGGCAGTGATGGGCGAGGTGACTTGACCGTGTCTGGAATGGCATCCACGACCGCCGTGGCGTCGTACTGCACCGCTCTCGGGATGCTGGCGACAGTGAAAGGGAACTTGCGCGTGAGATCAAACGCGGTCCTCGGCACGTCAAGCTCGACCACGAGAATGTACCACCACGTCACCGGGTCCACCTTCGCCCAGGAGTTGCCCTTCCACATGCCATGTTGCTTGCAGACCTCCTCCCACGCCTTGTCGCGCAATGCGCCGCCGTGGTAGCTCGCGGGCAACACTGGAATTTGGAACGGCTGCCTGGGAGGGCAGATTCAGATAAGGGCAAGTGCAAGACGGAACGGACGGGTGGACGAGCAGGCGTGTGGCCAGCAGCGACAGCAATGACGTGAGAAGGGGCGGCGGGAGTGGTCGGAGCAGGCAACTCACCCCTGCAGCGTGAGTGGGCCGTCGCCGTTGTTGATGCGGACCCGAAGGAGCTCCCACTCTGCGTAGATGCTGCGGGTGCGCCCCTCAGCAAACAGCTTTGTGCGCCTCTCCAGCCGCACGACAACGTCGCAATGTCGCTCCGAGAGGAGGTTTGTGAAAGTGCCGCTCACAGTGACCCACTCGCCGGGCGCCGCTCCGTTTCGTGAGAGCGTGACACCCTCCATCGCCACCAACCCCAGCGTGCCGCAGAGCTTGTTCTCAAGGAGGCCCATGCAACAGTCGCCGTTGATCTTCTTCTCGACGTGCGGGTCGCCTAAAGGATGCGTCAGGGATGCGTCACGGCCCGTGCCTGAGTGTGCCCTCGATCGGGGTGCTGGTTGCCCCCCTGGTTGAGCACGAGCATCGGCTGCGTGTAGATCGCCGAAGGCAGCCGCGTCGCGACGGAAAACGGTGCGCGCACATACGGGTCACGCTTCATCCGGAGGTCAATGGACGCCTCGACGTAATACCTACCTCCAGCAAGCTTTCGTCAGCGGGCAGCGGCGGGGACCAGTAGGCGACGGTAATTGGATGCCGGATGTGGGAATGCACGTAGTCGTGGTTATGCCAGCGCGGGTAGCGGCAAGTGTTGATCTCAAAGCTTCCGGGCGCGCGATCCGGCAGCTTGAGCTCGGGCAGCTCAAAGGTGTAGTCTCCTGGGGGCAGCACCGTCTGCTTGGCCGGCTCGGGCAACATCGGCCCCGTCGAGCCTCTAGAGGCCTTAGAGGAGGCCCTAGAGGAGGCGGCGTTTGGATCAAAGTCCTTAGGCACTGGGTAGGCCTGGATGTACACGTCGTTGCGGCTCAAGATCCCGTCGGCCGAGCGCAGGCCGAGTGCAGTCACCGCCACCAGGCTCAAGAGGTGGGGCTGGGTCGAGTTTGGTTGCCACGACGCCTTGACGGTGAGAGTAGATTTCGTCTCCTTGCCCTTGAAGGTGAGGTCGAAGGTCGCCCCCCCCTGCTCGACGAGCTTGCCCACGTCTCGCACCATCACCTCGCCGAGAAGATCATCCTTGCTGAGCCAATCCTCATCCATGACGCGAATGATCAGAGACATGCTGGCGTCATCGCATGTGATGAGCAGCTTCCCCTCATTGGGCGAGAGCGGCGAACCAACTGCAGGAAAGGGCGCGTGATGGCTCTCCGGCTGCCAGCGCCACAGCTCTCTCTCTCTCTCCCTCCTTCTCCCTCCTTCTCTCTCGCGCATCTAAGCCCTTGACAGATGCAGTTCTTGCCAGCGCCGTCGATGGCCGGCGTGCGATAGAAAGGACCCTATTGTGTGACCATCCAGTTCACCGACGGCGAGCCCGTCGAGTGGGTGCGGCCGTTGCCTGTACCCACAGGGTGTGAGTCTCCTTGTAGTAGTACTGGAAGCACGAAATCCGATCGTACTCAGCGTTGCCATCTTCGTCCCTTTTCATGACCCACCAGAAGCTGAAGCCCTCGCCAGCGATGCGAAATTTCACGCAGCGGCATGAGATTGGCTGCGAAGTCTTGAGCCTCACGCAGCCTCTGACGACCTCGCCTGCGAAGTAGTGCTGCTTCTCCAAGTGGACCTCAAAGAGCTCGATTGCGCTATTCCCGCGCCGCTGTGACATGAACGCTACCGACCGATGTGGAGCACCCTCCCCCCCCAGCCGAACGCCGAAAGGTGGACGTCCGTTCATCAAAAGCCCTCAACAACAACGGTGGAGCCACGGGTCGTGGGCCTCGCTTGCGTGGCCCGCCGCCGCCCC